GGAGCTGGCGGGGCCGATAGCTCACAAAATCTACCTTAGGCAAGCGGGGCCGAGCGCTCATGGACGAGTTGGCGAGGCCGAGAACTCGGTGGCTAGAGGAGCCGAGCGCTCATGGACGAGTTGGCGAGGCCGAGAACTCGGTGGCTAGAGCAGAGCTGGCGTGGATGAGTTGGCGAGGCCGAGCACTCGGTGGCTAGAGCAGAGCTGGCGGGGCCGAGAGCTCAGAAAGTCGACGTTCGGCAGGCGCAGCCGAGTGCCCATGGATGAGTTGGCGAGGCCGAGAACTCAGTGGCTAGAGCTAGCGAGGTTAAGAACTCAGAATGTTTACCCTGTAACAGGACTACACCGACAGCGCCGTCGTAGAAATAGAATCGTTTTGGGAACAATGGATTCTGCGAGCCTGCGCAATCGAAATCACTTTGGAGATCTTGAGGGTCTGGAAATGGACCGGATAAATGCACTTTGAAGATCTCGACGGTCTGGAAAGCATCGTCTTGGGAACAGCAGATTCTGCAAGCATGCGCACTCGAAATGCACTCATGTCCATCTTTCGAGGGACTGGCAATGGCTCGGACTCAGTGGCTAGAGCTAGCGAGGTTAAGAACTCAGAATGTTTACCCTGTAACAGGACTACACCGACAGCGCCGTCGTAGAAATAGAATCGTCTTGGGAACAACGGATTCTGCGAGCCTGCGCAATCGAAATCACTTTCGAGGGACTGGCAATGGCTCGGATAAAGGCACATTGAAGATCTCGAGGGTCTGAAAAGCATGGTCTGGGGAACCTTGCGCACTCGAAATGCAATCATGTCCATCTGGTCTGTTTCTCTTGTCTCCAACTCGAGCCCTCCCCCGCCCCCCCCCAGAAACAAACTAACTCTGCAACGAAACGTTTGTTTTGGGAGTGAAAAACAAAAGTTTCATGAGCCTCCGTAATAGAAATAGTAGTAGGAGGTGAAGGGAAATGTTTGTTTCGGGCGTAAAAAGCAAAGGTTTTCAGAACAAAAAGTTTGTTTCGGTAGTCAAAAAACAAAGGTTTCGGGAGCGTTTGTTTCGAGATCCAAAAACTCTAGTTTCGAATGTTTGTTTTTCAGGAAGAAAACTAAAGTTTCACCTGGCAAGCAGAAAACAATGGTTTTCGTGCGTAGAAACTTTAGTTTCCACTAGTTTGAAAAACTCAAGTTTTCTCACCTGGAAACAAACTTTAGTTTCCACTGTTTTCAGAAACTTTTGTTTCTAACTCGGAAACAAACTTACTTTTCATGAGTTTGTCCACTGACGGTTTATTCGAAAAAAACAAAGGTTCTCCGAAGCTCGGGGTTTGTTTTTTTCGAGTTTAGAACCATGCGGGCAAAGTTTAGTTCAGAGTTTGAGGGTTGAAACAAAGGTTTCGTCCAATCCTTCGTTTTCAAGAGAAACTCTAGATAATAACATTTGTTTGTCGCCATAAAAACTTTAGTTTTCTGTCTGCTGTCTGTCTTTTGAATTATTCGGCTTTACCTTGGCTTCGAATATGATTGTTTTTGCAGCTGGAAACTAACTTTTTACTCCTGCGGAAAAAGTTTGTTTCTCGGCTTGAAACAAACCTGTGGAAGGAGAAACTTGAGTTTCTTCCCTATAAACTAACTAGTGCTTCAGTCCCTTCTGGGTGGAGGGCATCGCTGTTAGCTTTGAGGCCATCGCTATTTTAGCTTGGAGGCCATCGCTATTTAATAGCTTGGAGGCCAACGCTAGTAGCTTGGAGGCCATCGCTAGTAGCTTGGAGGCCATCGCTAGTAGCTTAGAGGCCATCGCTAGTAGCTTGGAGGCCATCGCTACTAGCTTAGAGGCCATCGCTAGTAGCTTGGAGGCCATCGCTAGTAGCTTGGAGGCCATCGCTAGTAGCTTGGAGGCCATCGCTATTTTAGCTTGGAGGCCATCGCTAGTAGCTTGGAGGCCATCGCTAGTAGCTTGGAGGCCATTGGAGGCCATCGCTACTAGCTTGGAGGCCATCGCTAGTAGCTTGGAGGCCATCGCTACTAGCTTAGAGGCCATCGCTAGTAGCTTGGAGGCCATCGCTACTAGCTTAGAGGCCATCGCTAGTAGCTTGGAGGCCATCGCTAGTAGCTTGGAGGCCATCGCTACTAGCTTGGAGGCCATCGCTAGTAGCTTGGAGGCCATCGCTACTGGCTTAGAGGCCATCGCTAGTAGCTTGGAGGCCATCGCTACTAGCTTAGAGGCCATCGCTAGTAGCTTGGAGGCCATCGCTACTAGCTTGGAAACCATCGCTAGTAGCTTGGAGGCCATCGCTACTAGCTTGGAGGCCATCGCTAGTAGCTTGGAGGCCATCGCTGGTAGCTTGGAGGCCATCGCTGGTAGCTTGGAGGCCATCGCTGGCAAGACCCAAGGTGTGAACCAGAGCCAAGGTGCCCATACTCGGATGCTACTCGGGGCTCCTGGCCTTACTACTAGGAGCAAGGGCATCGCTACTAGGGCTCCTGGCATCGCTACCAGGAGCATTCTTACTACGAGTACTAGGAACAAGAACGCTGAACCAGAGCCAAGGTGCCCATACTCATACCCGCATAATGTGTGAACGGGCTCCAGCAGAATCTCACGTGGCAATCGAGGTGCCTCACTGGCAATCTCGCGCTTGGGTCGGGTACCGGGTACCGTCTCGAGTCTCTAGGCTTTGATGCCGGTCTTGATACATTCCACAAGAAGCATCAGTGACCTGTGGTGACAATAGGCGATTTACATGGATTTACATTGATCCAAGCCCACATCTTAATAAACCCACATCTTCATCCCTATATAGCACTTGATGTGCTAGTCGTGTCACAAGTTGGGGTGCCAATTCCTGCAAGTCTCGCCCATCTGTGCTGCGTCACGGTGCTGCCAGGGCACCAAGGTGCAAACAACCTCCCCCAGCCCTTTCAAGATTGCCACAAGCAAGAGAGACTTATCTGGACCTGGCCATTCAAAGGGAACCCATGGGGCACTTTGGAGTGCTTCCAGGGCGTAAGCCGCACAAAACGATGTTCTGCGTACCGCAATGATTCAAATACGTCTCGACCTCAGAACCGCGTGCCAGGTAAAACGATTTAAATGTCCAAACCTGACGCTTCCAGGTCCGACCCGTCTCCTTCCATCCATCTCCAACCCGTCCAACACCGACCCCGCCTTCGAAATCGTCACGTGACATGATCGCCTCGCCTCGCGACGGCAGATCCACGGTCCCGCGTCCGGGGGTCGAACCAAAACAGGATCCACAAACGAAAAAAAGGGCTTCCACGGCCAGTGCCAGACCTCGTGGGTACGAAACTGCCAACACGCACGACCGTGTTAATTCACAAGGAAAATGCGTGATCTGGGTTGATCCGGGTTGCATACATCCGGCAGATTGGATCTCACCGCATAGTCGAGCGCTGAATACCTGTGCAACATGTTGATGACTGGAGCCGTCGACAGTGAAGGAGTTTCTGCAGGGAAAAAAACAGGTGCGATTGGTCCCAACATGAAGGAATCCACCTGCCAGTAGGGTGGTCTAGTTTTCATTCTACAAGGGTTTGTGTGGGCTACAGTTGTTTCAAGCAAACATAAGAACGGGCCACTGTCTGCGCGCAGGGACAGGAACACTTTGGGATATTGTGTTTTTTGGGTGTATGACAAGGTTGCTCTGTTCACTAGTGGTTTGGCTCATGTGTTTCACCTGCAAACTTGAAAAAACGGTGGGAAATTGAGTTAGTGTTTCTCTTCAAAAAATGTGCGGGAGATACCGATACCTGTCAACAAAACAAAACATACAAAATCACAAACAAATGATCTTGAAATGGAACAAACTGGTCGATCTCAGGGGTCGAGCAAAATAGAACGAAAACAACCATCGGACTCATGGGCCTCTGCGCAAAATTCACCAGCCAATTTAAGCCAGTCATTCTATGGAACACAAGAGTGCTATCCCAATGGGTGTGATCTTTGTGATTTATGGATGCTGCGGTCGCAGCAGTGGAGGACAGCAAGGTTGGAACATCTCAATCACAACAGGATTGGTTGGTTGAGCGATGTTGGGCGGGGATATCAACACACCACAAACACATCAGTTGGATTGTGTAATCCATGTTATCGCGAAATCCATTGTTCACCTAAACTCAATCGAATCAGCCTAAATCCATCTAAATCCATCTGTTGAGTATGTTCAACCTTTTGTGAACATGGCACGACATGGCCCAGAGTGGTGCCTGCCTGGCATTATCCTGCAGATTCACCTTAGATCATGGTGTCCAATGGTAAGGCGGAACAACATGGAGATCCGAAAACCCAACGGCCAGCCAAGCACTGACCACAAGCAAACTAAGCAAGCAAGCAAGCAAGCAAGCAAACAAACAAACAAACAAACAAACAAACAATGGATGGCCAAGGGATCTGCTGCTTTTGGAACTAAGCCCACCCATAAAAAAACAAAAACACTACTGTAAATAGATGTAAATAGCTGATCTGCTGGGCCTTGTTCCCAACACTGGTCCACCAAATTGGGCATCTGCAAACCAGCCTTTGAAACTTCCCACCCCACCACACGCTTCCTGGTCGCTTCTTTGGCGAAACGTGCGGAAGTGCCAGGTCGCCTGCTGGAAGTGGGGCGAGCGCAAAATGGCATGGCAGGTGGCGCTCAGCCGCTGTTGGGCAGCAGCATGAAGGCAACCTGAACGACAATCGAGGAGGGGCCCGAATCTGGGTTGCCCCAAAGGAAATGGAAGCAATCAACATAGAAACATGTGCCACATGGGGTGGGTGAGTGGATTGTTTGTGTTTAGTTATGTTTGCATTTGCATGCAATCTTTGACTGCTGTTCCTTGTTATGAACGCCACTTTTGTTTGTCATTGCTTGTTTCAGGCAACCCTCTCTTTTCCTTTTGCTTGTTTGTTTTTGTTTATGTTGGTTACCATGTTGTTGGGAAGGGACCGTTGTAGCGAGCTTCAAGACGTTGACAGCTGAGGTTAAATGGTTCAAGTCCAGAGTCAGTCAGCGTCAAAGTTTAAGATGCACACGCAAAATATCAAGTGACCCCGAGAAAGGAGGGCGGGGGTCAGGCAGGTTGAAGGAATGAACTGTTGAGCAAAGATGGTGGTGATGGGGTGCCTCTTCTTGTGACAGCACGATTTCCACAACGACAGCTACCCCAATTTCATTTATATCAGATGCTAGAACACATCCATCAACAAAAACATCCCGAAACTTCGATATGCCAGCTGCACCTACGGCTACCAGTAGAAGGGAAACTTCCTAGGCATATGAAACAGGACTATTCTCAAGAAATGTGTCGAGTCACCGTTAAAGTGTAACTAACATTGGTAAGCCAAAACACCGGTGTTTACGAGTTGTTTTTGCAGTAGGAGAAAAACATTGTAAACACACACGTCATTCAACACACATGTATTTACTATTTACAATGATTTTGTCGTAGGAGCTCGACACATATCTAAATACCAATGTTTTTGAACCTGGGCTGGGCAAGCACAAGCCACTGCATTTACAATATGTTTCGCGCTAAATTAATGTAGTGCTCTGATTAATAAACGCCCCTAGAATAATGTATTTTAATTTTGGCAGGGATAGTTGTAGTGGAATATGTTTAATTGTTATCGTTTACTGTTTCCCTTTAGAGTTTGCTGGGATCTGCTTATCTTACAGGCTTTTGGATGGAGATTTCTATTAAAAATTGGAGATGTCCATTGAGATTTGGTGCTTTGGGAGGCTGTTGGATGGAGATTTCTATTCAAAATTTGGAGATTTCCATTGAGATTTGATGTTTTTGGAGGCTTTTGGATGGAGATTTCTATTAAACAATTGAAACTTGTCCTTTCTTTTCCTTTTGATTTGCTTTACTTACCTAAGCTCTTTAGCCTTTAAGCTTCCCAAAAGTTTCCAAAAGTCAGTGAACACTTTCTTTACAAAATCCCTAATTCACAAGTATTGAAAAACAAACAAATCATTCAAGCAAAGGGGGTAGTCCAGCAAGCAGCTTTCTGACATTATTTAGGTGGGCCCTAGAATAATGTCTAGAGATTTCAGGCTTAAAAATGTTTTGCTTTAAGTAAACGTGTATTCATTCCCTTTCTGTTCCGTTTGATTTGCTTTACTAACCTAAGGAGCTCTTTAGTCTTTAAGCTTTCCAAAAGTTTCCAAAAGTCAGTGCCCACTTTCTTTACAAAATCCCGTATTCAAAAGTATTGAAAAAGGAAAAAAAACAATTCAAGCAAAGGGGTTAGTCCAGCAAGCAGCTTTCTGACATTATTTAGGTGGGCCCTAGAATAAAGTCTAGAGATTTCAGGCTTAAAAAAATGTTTTGATTTAAGTAAACGTGTATTCATTCCCTTTCTTTTCCTTTTGATTTGTTTTACTTACCTAAGCTCTTCAGTCTTCAAGCGTTCCAAAAGTTTCCAAAAGTCAGTGCACACTTTCTTTACAAAACCCTTGTTCAAAAGTATTGGATGCGTTTGAAGGTCTTTGGATTCAGATTTCCATTGAAATTGTGAAGATTTCCATTGAGATCTTATTGGTGTCCTTTTATTTTAGTATTCCAGATGTCTTCAATTTGAGATTTAATTGACTCCCTTTAGTTTTTAATATTGCCAGAGAAGGCCAAGAAGAGTTTAATAAGGATTCTAATTGTTTTTGTCCTTTGATTAGTTTTCTTATATATTATATTGGAGGCCCTAGTTGTTGAGGGGGGTGCGAGAGATGGACTGTTAGGAACTATGCGACAAAGCCCTTTCAAACATAACAACAACAACAACAACAAGAACAATAACAAGAACAAGATGAACAACAACACGACCAGAGCAACGACAAGAACCAACACGACCAGAACAGGGGGGGGCCGGTGGGGGTGATAAATCAAGAGTCTACATTTGAAGCCTCAAAGCCATGTAAATACCACTACCACCAATACCATTGTTTTTGAACGGCAGGCCCACAAAAACACCGTATTTGCAAGGTTGTTCGGGAGGCCATATTAGGTTGGGGGGCTTTGGGAGCGAGAAACAATGGCTTTTACCGTGTGCCTTACTTTTCTAGCCTGTCCCCCTGGTGTTGACAAACGGATGCATGCAAGTCTGTTGTTGAGTGCCCTAGCCCTTGTGCCAGGGAGTTGGTATTTCCCATCGCCTATCGTCTTGACTGGTTCCTCGGTCAGATGGATTTTTGATTACCCAGGCCGGGGCACTTCCTGTAATCTTCTGTATACTTTTCTGTCTTTTTTTCAAGCTCAAATAGGGATGAAAAATTGTACGTGGATACAGTTTGTCATTATATATATATATGCATACATCTCTGTACATATATATACAGTATATATATATATATATTGATATTGTATTCGTTCTTTATGTCGGTATGTGTTTGCCGATTTCCACGATTGTTCGGCGTTGGGAGTCCATCTTGAGTGCGAACCAGGTTCCGGTTGAACACCGGAACCATATTCTCCATTCGTATACCGTGCTTTCGGCAGTTAAGTGTGTGCGCCGGCTGTTCAAGGCCGCCCATATATTGATGTTGCCTTCACTAAAGATCTTCAGCCATTCGTTTCGCAATTACCGGCCAAGAATGCTTTCATGTCCCGCTTCACGTAGTTGGCTTTCGTGCTTTGTTCGAGGGTTTGTACATTAGTGGCCAGGATCTCACCTGTATTGATCGTCGCTCGCCGGATGAGTGCCAAGTTGTCAATGTGAATAACTGCATTTCTGGGGGAAACTTTTGAAGGAAAACGCAAAAACTTCTGAAGGAAAACGCAAACGCAAATGAAGCTTGTATCTACGGGTAGATGACCTATGCTCAATGGAAGTGCGTATTCCAGTATCTTTGTCCATCACTGCAGCTCTTTTTCTCCAAGCTAACAGTTTTCGGATACACCCAACACATGATCAAAAACGGTCATGCGGCATGGATCACACTGATCACGCTTATCTGGTATGGCTCATAGGGAAGGTCATTCTTTTTAGACAATAAGCAACAATGTAGCCAGCGACAGAGGAACTTCAGTGAACTGATCAAACCCTTCACATAAGAAACTATAAGAAGAACCTGTTCTGTTCTGCAAGAACCTATAAGAACCTCTTACAGAACCTTATGGCTTCGCTTGTCAAACCTGGGCAAACAAGAACGTCCTTTCTCGGCCAAGAAACTTTGCTTGTGCTCAGCCTTGGCTCAGGGACTCTGAAAACCAGTCAAGGATTGTTCGACGGAGTTGTACTAGGCATCTCCCATCTATACTATACACATGTACATGTACATATATATATATATTGTATGGTCCATACTGAGTGAGCATTTCTTTCAGTAAGAAGTATGATTCTCCTTCATTCACACCGGTTTGGACTTTTTCCAAGCTGCCTTGCAAGTCAACATATCACCCACGAAAACCAGAACATCCCAGAACTGATCCATTTCCTTGGAAGCCCTATCTCCGTCAGGCAAGGGGGAGAAACGCTTGGGTGCTAAACATGATGCACACACCGAGTGGACAAAACGTGACAATTGAGCGTGTACACTGTAGTTGTAATGTAAACACCTTCCCCGAGTCCTGCTCTAATAGACCTGAGATAGCCAATACAAACAAGCTAACAAGCACAATCCTTCTTGGTCTGGTCATGTCTGGTCGTATGTCTAACCCAACATGCGAAATCTGACTGTGCCACGCCTACTACACCTACACCAAACGGCCTCCAATATCCCCCCATATTGTTATGTGGCCAGGTTTCTCAGCGTTCAACCCCCCGGATGACCCTCAGACCCTCAGGAAAAACAATTCTAATTAAATTCTTATTGTTACTAGTAGTAAGGCACTTGTTCCTAGTAGCTTCTTGTTACTACTAGCTTCCTATTCAGCGCTCAAATAGAAACACATATGTTTTTTGTAGCATTATCGTTCTGGACCTTGTTCTGGACGTTTGTGCTTCACAACCTGTTGAGCGGAGCAGATCGGGAGACATGAACATTCTTCCTCTTGAAGTATTAGTTATTAATGGATATCAATGGCATGGACACATTCAGGAACCCGTCCATGTTTGCTCCCTGTCACCATCTCTTCAATGCAGGTTCATTGCCTGGAGCTGAAGCACGGAATGATATGTCACGGAATGATATGTCGGCCACGGGACGTGCACATAGTTCACCAACTCTGCAAGGTCTGGTGACTTCAACAAGGCCAAACAGCTGCTCCCTTAGAGGCAGCGTGGATCCGTTGCTCGGATGGATTCCAAACACTCCGTGGAACCACGAGTTTGAAAAGGAGAGGAATCGAGGGTGTTGAAATAAGACAAAGGTCCCTTGTTGAGGGTAGTAACAAGGGCATCGCTACTAGGAGCAAAGGGCATCGCTACTAGGAGCAAGGACGCTACTAGGGGCTCCTGGCCGTACTACTAGTAGCAAGAAGCTATTAGAAACAAGAATTCACCAAGGGCACAGTCTGCACAGTGCCTTGAATAGGAAAAGATTGCTCTTTCCTGATTTCGTGCCGTCTTGCTGACACCTGGTAGGTCGATGGTCTGTACGAGTTACGTGTCTTTAGGGACTTGCCTTGCACACATTAAAGCCATATACTTGATGATGATGTCGTAGCTGTGCCCTCGTCAAAAGAGGGTAGCTGACTCACAATCCCGGACGTTTTCCCATTCATGATAGCGACAATTGTACACCGTCTGCACAGATTTGGAATGTTGCCCTCCCTCCCAGCCCAGAGTGTTGAAACTTCAGAAACAACTTGTTGTTTTACATGCGAATGATCTCCACCAAGCAGTTTTTTTCCGGTGGGTTCCGGAGCAGATCGTCTCCAGCGGGAAATCTCCGTCTAGTGGACTGAACCCCACACGGGTCACATATGGTCACATGCGTCACGACGTACCCCTAGTAGCGTCCTTGTTCCTAATAGTAAGGCCAGGAGCCTCTAGTAGCGTTCTTGCTCTAGTAGCGATGCCAGGAGCCCTAGTAGCTTCTTGCCAGGAGCAAAGACCCCTGGTGCCAGAAACACTCACATAATCCATTGCTCCCGCATCTGCTGGAGAACTTTCTGGCCAAAGTGCCATTCCCAAGTTTGGCCTGGAGAAAAGGGCTCAGGGGTCCGAAATGTGCACAGGCACCAGGAAAAAAGGGGACGTTGAGTCTTTTGAGACCTATTCTCTTGGGTGAGGGTTCTGGCAGTTCTAGGCTCTTGGCCATGATATGCCATGATACAACCCTCCATTCCATAAGTCTGTTCCAACACAAGGAAAACACTTGCAGCATCTTGCAGCTGTCAGCTGGTCTTCAAAATATCGGAACTCTGAATACACAGAACTCATTTGAAAAACAATCTTGGAGGAATGAGTTGACTCAGTTTGGTGTGTAGGCAACGGTTCAGGGACCGTCAACTTGCGAGCAGTCAGCTTGAGCTCGTGACTTGGCGTAGACGAACGGGGGCGCTAAACTAGAGTTTGACTCCAGCCACTGGACCAGGGAACCCCATCATCCACTTTCACACATCCAGCCAACTGATCAAGTGGTCTTGTAACAACTGTATCAATCGATGTCTACTTTTTGTTGCATCCGTTTGCCAACGCTCGAGGAACAAGCCCTAACATAGATGATCATGGAGATTCACAGGTGGGGCCTCGACTTGCACGGAGAGACCGACGCCGTGACGGTTGAACGTTGATGGACCGCTTCCCGCGATCAGGTCGCAAAAAAACATCAAAAAACCATCGAGGAAGTGAGGAATTTGATCAAATGTCTCAAGACCTTTCCTCTGGCTCTATCCTACTCCCTTAAACTACTAATTTGCTTCCAAATGCTGCGCTTGGAGGTGTTTCATAAGCTTTGCATCATTGTGTCCAAATGTCAGTTCTTGCGTGGTCAACAACCACATCCACAGTGCCCAGAGCGGCCTCGAGGAGTTCATCCGCCTGTTTTGCACGAGTAATTTGTTACTACAGGTGAAACGATTCCCAGTGAAACGATTAGCTTCTTGCTCCTATTACATATGTTCTACACACCCGACGCCCATGCCTTCGTCCGCGGACGAAGGCCACTCAAGAACACCCCTCACGTGGGCTGGTCCCTCCTCGCCTCGTCGAAGAGGGTGCGGGTCTCGGGCTTCTGTTTCACCAAGGTCAGATCCACTTTGAGTTCCTGGCGCTGGTGCCAAGACTTCAACGCCGGGAACGGAACCAAACAAGCCCCGCGACGCGCAGGAGTCAAACGGAGTGAGTGGAGTCCCATCTACCTTCACAAATCAAGGCGGTCCCCCATGTCAAGAGCCGCTCTGTAGAGTTGGAGATTGCGGGTCTTGTGGTCCAAACTCTCAACGTTGAGGGAAAGGTCCACCCCAGCAACCGATATCCAATGATGCAGTGATTCTGGCTTTGTGCGTGAGGATGTGTCAGGTTGCGGTGTATGCTCAGATTGCGGCTGAAATCTTTCAATAGCCTTGGTACTTGTGGATTCGGTCTGTGCTACCATATGGTCGGCGGCATCAGGGCGCTAGCCCATTCTATTGAGCATCCTACAGAGATGATATAATTGGAAACGACCGGTTGAAGGTCATGAGCACTCGTTCAGTGGATTGGCTCTGATGCCGTCCTGAGGCAACAAGCTGTCCAGCGTGCAGGTGTCCTTGCAGAGTGGGAAGGGATTCTGGTAGAGTGTCTTCATGTGTCTTCACGTCCAGCGTCAGTCTCTAAATGATCAGAGTGATCTTGATTCACGCTTTCTATCAGGGAATCCAATACCAAAACAGGGTTTAATCGAGGAGTACGCACCAACCATTTTGGAGGGGACATCTCCCTATTCTGATGCCCATGTGTGTAGAGCCGTTTTGGGCTCTAGGGACCTTCGACTCAAAGCTTCGCCGGCTGTTCAATCTGCAGTGATCCCCTTTAAAGGTTGACAATTAAGGATTCTGAGTCGAGGATGGTGCAAACCACCTCAGTTTCAATCACCATCTGTGGGTGAAGTGCTTCCCCCAACCGCGCATTCCTCAAGTCGGCACCACACACTCATGACGACTCGGGGCTGGGGCAACGCCCAGTGGTGTTTCCGACTACGGGGCCTTTACTTGATTTCAACGAGATCTGACCAGACACAGTGGTGACTTTACGGAACAGGCCTAGTCAAGCCTTCCAAAAGTGGTCCAGTGGTGACTGGACCAGGTTTGAACAGGCTTAACAGTGGTGACTGGACCAAAATGTGACCCTGATAGCTCAACAGGATGGAAGTGAAGGCTGAACACCCCTGATAGCTTTCACACGTGGTGGAAACCCTTCAAGAAGAAAGCAGAACACCTTCACCCGTGTCACCAGCGAACCAACATGAACCAACCACCAGCATCTGCCTAATCTGGCTGATGGCCGCTCCTCCTTCAACTCCTTTGGTTCTGCTGTTAGCAGCCGCTGGGTGGAGCGTGGCATGTGCAGCGCTGCCTCGATCATCTCCTGCGCCACAACAATGTCCACCCGGGTTGTTTTACGTGTGAGTTATTCGACATGTGGAAAATAATTATGGAAAATTGCCTCAAAGTCGTGAAGGGTATCGCCATGTATAGGCCTTCAGCATTTGCTGGTCTTGTTTGGAGTTCGGAGGTGAATTGTTCATTCTGACCAACCTGGTACAAAAGAATCAATTCAGTCGGAGGCTGGAGGCCCAACAAGCGGCAAAGGCCCCTTGAAGTACCATATGTAGCAACCAAAGGCCAAGTGAATTCGCCTGATTCTCTACACTGAACTTCTGCTTGGCAGCAAAATTGGCATGCAAAGTATATATATATAGGCAAACATCGCACGATCGTCTTGTGCAAACACCAGTGAAGGCTTGCACAGTGTGTACGACACTTGGTTCGTACACTTGTGCCAAATGCCTTCAAATACGTACCCTAGCCTAGAAGTCCAAAGACTATAATATATATAGCTTGCACCCCTCAAGTAAAGGATGCTAGGAAGTTCCTTTCTGAGCCACCTCCAGGCTATTCTGTACCTTATACTCTTGGACTCCCAGGCAGTATGTCATCAATGCTGATTTCAACCGCTTTGCGTCCGGGCCAGATCAAACCCCGACTTAGTCGACTGAACCATTGGGTGGTGTCTCACCAGTCGACCAGTCGACCGCTCCCACGTCCCCTGTCGCGCGGACGTCAGTGGTTTCACACCGGACGCGGCGGTGAAAGGAGAAAACACGCCTTCAGGACCCCGAGAGTCATACTTCGTGAGCAGGGCAGTTGCAACAGCGTCTTGCCCGCCAGGGACATCACCTTCAGCTGCACCTTCACTTCTGGTGCCTCAGGATGAAAAGGACAAAAGGCAACCAGAAGGACAGCTATCAACAACCCAGGGCCTCAGGGTCTATTCTGTCGTTCCAAAACCTTCAACCTTGAAACATGAAGATCACATGGAACATCATGGAACATCATGTGCTCTGTGCACTGATTGAAATTCACTGTGCAAACCCACGAGTCGCGAGTCGCTCCGCGGGTTCCTCCATCGCCTCCACCCGCTCGCGCCTCCACCCGCCGCCGCTTGGTCACCTCCTCCTCCTCCTCCTCCGAGCTGCTCTCATCCATCAGGCGCTATGGGGAGCATGGCGCCAGGTCCGGAGTTCAACAACTCTGACGGTTCGTCGCTGCATGGATTTTGCGCAAGGCAGGTTTCTTGGGGTCGGAGGAGGTTCACTTTCCAATGCGCGGGAAAACTTCACCAAGTTGGCAAATTCACCGTCCGAGTTTGTTCCGCACAGGAGTTTGTCCTGGACGTAACTGCAGGGATCAATGCATACATGATTCATTTCCAGGTGTCTTTTGCAGGAACTTTGTTTCTCCCGCACTCATTTGGTATGTGTATGCACTGTATTTAATTGTATTTATCCAGTGCCCCAAGCAACTTCGACCACCTATGAGATCAGCAATCTCTTGCTCCGGCCTATGCATTTCTCCACTTCAACCTTCTGCTGCTTCCGTCTGCGGAAGGGCTCTAGCAACCTTGGGGTCTTGGGGTGGCCGCATGGCCAAACAGCTGGGGTCGATGCACCTGGGGTCGATGCACCTTGGGGAGAGTAACAACCACCGGCACTTGCGGTGTTTCAGCAGATTCCGGCAGAGTAGGCCTTCTTTCACCAACAGCGGGTAACTAGCGATTCGGTCCATGTTGTTTATCATGTTGCTGCTGATCAGCAGCGTTCGGGTTGAGTGAAATGACGTGTTCTTACAGTGAAATACAGTATCTTCACCGAATCGTGCGTCGATTGTTTTCTCAAGCCAACTCTCTAGCCACAAGATCATACCCGGTATACTCAATCTAAATTTAAAGGAATAAGTGCAGTTGTGTAACCTCTGTCAGTTTAGTTTGTCTTCATATGTCTTGATATATTATATACAGTATATATTGTTTATGATCGTATACCATGTTTCATCATTTTTCACTTCTGAGCAAAGTCTGTCCCAGGCTTTACTCAGATTCTGGCTGCGCAGGAACGTCCTTGCACATCAGCGTGCACAACGATGTGCTCGGCATGTTGCGGCCATCTTCTGTATGCATGACGATAAAAAGTAGACAAAAGTGCCGCAGGTGTTCATGCATCTTCATGTTCCCAGGGCCTCCTGGAGGGCCAAATTGAATCGCTTCGACCCCTCCGCCCTGCGCTCTGTTCTGCCCGCGCGTTTTCCCACCTGTTGCCACAAGGAAAACCAGGCGGCCACCTCTGCCGCGAGCGCCTGAGACTCTTGACGCCGTGCCTGGCCAACTCCAGACCGAGACACCGAGAGACCGCGATTGAGTGATCCATGCCGTCCTAGGCCGTCATGTTTGGACCTCAAACATGAAACTGATCTAAAGCGTTTGAATTAGACAGCATTAGTATAGCATTAGTCTCTTTTTGGGACCATTTGTCTTCGCATGTCTTTGCTACTTCTTGCCCAATGTGTTTGAGAAAATCATTCAATTCATGGTTCATCGCTCCATTCTTCCACTGGTTTTCGCACGGCTCCCTTCGCGCTTCCGTCGCTTCCGTCGCGCTTCCGGTGCCTTCAACTCCCCGCTGAGCTCCTTGATGCTGCTCTGCAGACTCACCGCCTTCAGCTGGACACTCCTGCAGCGGGGGGGTTCCGAAAAATCTCCCAAACGGTGAGAGAACGGTGAGAGAAGAGGTTGATCAGGATGTTGTCAAAGGATGTCAAAGGTTTCTCAGGCGGTGAAGGTTGTCCATTGACAATTCAGAATTCAAGATATTAATGTATACTATAATATATATATATATAGTGTACACATGTGTACACACATTGCATATAATTAGAGATATTCACATCCCACATCCAGCCCGATGCAGTTTACCAAATTCTACTTGACTCTTTCGGCCCTTACTGTCTGCAATTGTTGCCACATGCAGGAGTCCATAATAGTCCATGAGACCCTGGGCCCGTGGCCGGCCTCAGCTGTTGTGTTAGGAGCTGCTGCACCTGATGCACCGAAACAAGGGGAATCCCCTCCGAAGATCTAGACCTTTCCCATTTACTACAAGTAAATGCAAGGTACATGCAAGGGCTTATCTAGTTGGTTGGAGCATGGGACTGAGTATATGGGATTGTTGGTTTTATCTGCTTGGCCACATTTGGTTCTGTCGAGTTTGCCCCTGTGCCACAAACATCAAACACAATTGGTTGGGATCTCACGTACTGGGTCTGTTCCACCAGTCACCACACCGCAAAGAATGACTCTAGATGCACCGAAGCCTTCTACTATGTTTTACTTACACACCGAATACAGTACACCAGCAGGTTACAGCATAGAAGAGGATACCTGGGGATAATCAGAAATACCTTTCTTGGAGTACAAGTACACTCCACTGCTCGACTGCCACGTTCTCCTGCTCCACTGACACACTCCCACCTCGCTGCGACGTTCCGCCCAGGCTTCTCGGAGGAGGGCAACCTGCGGCAATGCGCAGTGGCTGCAAAGGCACTCCACGGCGAATGCTTGTTTAGGGGCATGAGAGAATATGCATGAAACTATGAAAGTGCGCTGAGAACAGCTGAGAACATGAAAAAAAATCCATGACCTTGACCTAGGCATGTTGAACCACAAGGCGCGGTGGCAAAGGTCGGGCGGACAAACAACCCGGACAGCAAAAAAGCAATTAGATCCTGTCCTAGTGCATTCATTGCATAGTCTGCATATGGATGGCAGGTCCTATTTTCATAGGTTGGTTTTTGTAAAGAGCATGATAAAGAGAAATAGCTAGTCCATGCTTTTACATGCTAATACTGTGCTTGCTTTCTCCACCGAACCAGCCACCGAACATCAACTTGCCTGGTGAAGGCCGTCAATGCGACTCTGCTCCCTCTCCATGTCCTGGCGCTTCCGGAGCTGCTCCAAACGTTCCTGGCCGATGCGGACTGGCCTGGGGAACGGCGATCAAAGGGGTTGAGATCCAGAGTTTTGTGTGTGTGTTTGTGTTCGTATGTGTGGTGTAGGGGAGAGGTGATGAGAGGCCTGTTGGTGTTTTGGATGGATTCAGGTTCGAGAACCCATGGACTTGCAGCCGCATTTCAACTATAAATGTACATATATATATATATATTATATATTATGTTATCTATTAGTCCTTAACTACTGGCAAAGACTGACAATGTGTAATGTAAACGACCCCTACAGGCCCTACTACACACAGCCCATGTACAGCAATGCCTTCTAACTTCTAATCTCATATAAAGTGACATCAGCCAACTTTCATCCACAAATCAATGATATCATCCCACAAACTCTGACCTTCACCTAGGGCCTACGAACCCCCTTTTGGCCCGCATTAGGGTTATGTATGGCTTGGCGACGCCTTCGAGTAGGAAACCCTCATGCTTGACCGTAAACACACTATTGGTGCTTTTTGAATCCTAGTAGTAACAAGTAACAAGGGCATTACTTTAGTCGCAAATAGCTATTAGCTTCTTGCTGTTACCAGCCCCAGTAATAGGTATCTATTGGTGATGTTTGGTGGTCCAAATCCGCTCCAAAGCACCATCCCGCCTCGCACCCGACGCACTGTTGTGTGAGCTGAGCCAAGTCGCTCTGCTGTGACCCTCAGACCGGCGCACCGGTGACCGGACGAGCAGTGAAAAAAAAACACGGGTGCTCTTAAACGGCTCTCACTGGTCTATTTTGGACAGTAACACTGTTGAAGCCACTAGGTCACTAGATTCACCCTAGATTCAATGTGTTCAATCCCTTACAACAAGCAAAGGAGAAAGACTTCCCTCGCTTCTCCAGACCCATTTGGCCCGCTGCGACCGAATCAGGGTCGCTGCTGTCGACGCTCGCAGAGTCGCCATGAGGCGACCCAAATCCAGTCGCAGTCCCCGGCAAAGCAGGTCGATCTCGCTCCAAATTCGTTCAGGGAAACTCAGATGTGCTTATTGCTCAGGTCGATCCCCGGTAGTAAAGCAGCGCTTTGTTTAAATCCCCCCACTTCCAAGATTGACACTTCAACTCTCCACTCATAAGTTTTTGCTTGTTAGTCCGTTTGTTTGGGTATGACTATTAATCACTCACCGGTACAAAGGGATCACTGGAATCAGCCGAACCATGTTGAACCTTGCCGCACTCCCTTTCAACTGCCAACGAGCTTCGGATCTGCTCCAGAAGTCCTTTATTTGCCGCCTCACGTTGCGCAAACCAACAAACAAGATTTGCCAACGTTTGGTGCGGAAAAGAATTGAATGGTTGCTGTCACTATGTCACTAAGCAGGCTATGGAGCTCAGATTTGGATTCTTGTCAAACACAAGACGCCCAACGTATTGAGTCCGGTCATCAAGCAAATCACCCACGCACTTGTCCAAACTGGAGAAGACATAGAAAGAGTCAAGTGGTCTTCTCATTCTCTGAAAGTTCTGTTGGAGTTGCACCACAGATATGCATTGCTGATTTTAATTACCTTCATCTTTTTGTATATATATGTTGTTTTTCTTACGTGTGTGTTGGCCAAACGATTTTGATCCTCCGTAAGCTTCGCAGATCTGTTGTGAATCCATTGAAGCAACTTGCGGATGCGGACGCATTTGCTCGCGCCCACCTCGAAATCAATTGGGGCGGCCGTTCAATTTGCTTCAGCTTCGTGGTCAGTTGCAGTATTCTTAATTATGTTTGTAATTAGGATCGCTGCCATTGCAGGGCGCTTTGCTGCCTTGTGCCAGTCCATTGATTGGTGTGCAATGACAACACAGAGTCATGAACCATTATCTCTTATCCCAAATTATCCCAAAGGTTCCAGAGCAAGTCCATGGGGTTTCGTCAAGATGATTGAGATCTTCATCAACGAGCGATGCATCACTCTTGTCGATTCAGCAGGCTTCATCGATCGGCTGTGACCTTGACGCTGCCCATCGACTCCAGAAGCTTCTCGTTTCCATCGGCCTGCTGAACCTTGGGACTGCACAAGAACCACATACACCGCAACACTTCCTGCCCTGGCACCCCACAGAAGAGTGCAGCTGGACTGTAATTGTCCTGTACCAGTATCAGGTGGTTGGAAGTCTTCTCCATTGGTGGTTACACTGGTTTTGTCAACAGCACCATCAG